AAGAAAAAGAGGATGAGGTGAAGGACGATTTCTACGATCAGTTAGAAAAAATTGCGGACCAGGCTCCAAAACATGACATAAAATTAGTCATGCGAGGCTTCAATGCCAACATAGGTCGAGAAACCCAATTTAAGCGCGTCAATGACAATGGTGTGAGATGCATTAGTCTGGCAGCAGCTAAAGGTCTAATAGTCATTCCCGAAAGTAGACAGATTCAAATACCTCGGCTCCACAATAACCTCAATAAATGATCAACTAAAAGAGATAGACCAGCGAATAACAAGTGTTAACAGATCATTCTTCTATCTTTCAAAGGTACTGAAATCCAGAAAAATCTTCAGAAATCTCAAAATAAGGGTATACAAAGCCGTGACTAAGCCAGTTCTGCTGTACGGTTGTGAATCTTGGGCTCTAACAGGCACATGAGAAGCCAGAATTGAGAGATTCGAAAGGAAAGTTCTGCGTTGGATAAAATGATCTATATTGGACCAGAGCCTTAACATATGGAGGAGAAGGAACAATAAAGAACTGTCGAATGAAACGGGTCAGTCAATATCCCATGACATGAAGGCAAGGAGGTTACGATGGGTAGGGCATGTATCTCGTAGTAATCCATCAGGGCGTCTCAACAAGACAATGAATGATAGAGTTGTAGTCAAGAGAACACGTGGGAGGCCAAATACCAGATGGATAAATAGGATAAACAAAGCTACGGCTGAGCTTCATGGCGCAAATTGGAAAGCAGTAGCCCAAGATAGGCAGAGGAGGAGAAGGCTAGTTCAGGGGGCCAAAGATCTACAAGGTCTGTAGAGCCAACAAAAAAAACAAACAATATATATATATCTGATACCTCTACCCCCCTGTATGTATATGTATATGGGGCTGGGGTAGCCTTGAGGGCTAAGGGGCTTGCAATAGGTAATCATAGTTAAGCAACGCCGAGCGTAGCTAGGATGGGTGACCGTCTACCAAGGAAAGTCACGCTGACCGAGATTCCTCCCCTCCCCTACGGGAGGTAACTGACATCGACTGGGCATAGGATTGATGACCCTACCCCGTGCTTTAAATCAGGAATCGGGATGTGGTCTAGACCACCCTCGCGGTCAAAGATCTCCATAGGCTGGGTAGGGCCAACGGAAAAGAAGATAAATAAATATATATATATATCTTTTTTTTCGGTTGACACTACAGACAATGAAGATTTTTGGCCGCGAGATAGACCACATCCTTATAGACGTTTGTTACTTGCGGGAGCTCAGATAGCATGGAGGGGGTCACCCAACCTCACGTTGCTACGAACCATGGTCTCCATGGTGCAGCGGCAGGCCAACTGTAGCTCCATAGCCAATCCCTTTGGGGCCAATCTGTCAGTGTCCTTCCCACCGACTCACTCGGGTTCAAGGACAGTGACAAATCGGTCTAGATCCATGGATTATAGCTGCTCGGAGTCAGAAGGTGAATGAGGACCTATATTTCTTTTCCGAAACAGACCGTCCATGGACCGAACCTGAGGGGGACTACTAACATCCTGGAAGACCACATCCCGATTCCCGATTAAGTACACGGGGTAGGGTCATCAGTCCTACGCCAGGGCGGTGCGAGTTGCCAGTAGCCTGACGGGTCTTACATATTCGGAGGGGGGGGGAGAGAATAGGGCAGCATAGATTTCCTGGTGGACGGTCACGCAAATCGGGTGGTCACCCATCCAAGTACTAACCATGCTCGACGTTGCTTAACTTTGATTATCTATTGCAAGCGTGTTAGCCCGTATGGCTACTCCAGAACCCATATATATATATATATATATATATATATATTTATATTTATTTATTTATTTATTTATTTATTTATATTTATATATGTCTATATAGTTTTTGTTTATTATTTAGTTATTATTTTACTTTTGTTAATTTTATGTTGTGTGTATACATGGTGTGAATGTGTTCATATCTCACTATATTTATTGTCCGTTTCACAGATAATTATATTTCTAAATAAATAAATGAATAAAATAAATAATAAAGTATTTATAATATTTACACTATCTTAAGAACATAACTTTACAAATTATTTTAAAATAAAAATAAAATACATTCTGACATGAATAATAATAAAAAAAAATAAAAAAATAAAGATTTTTTTATGTTTCAATCATAGATTGAGTAATCGTAAACTTATATTGAATGGCACTGTTTATTATCTAATTTAAAGGTTTTATTATCTGTTCTGGATAATATTACTTTCATAGTAGTAATATGAAAATAATGGAGATATATAAAATGCTATAAGCACCGTTCTATTTTATTTACGATTTTACTAATTTCATAAGAATCTATAATATTTATTCATAATAGGTGGTATCCCATTACCATAAATAATTATTCTTGGTCTGTAATAAATATGTGTAACAATTTCCTTCAACATCTACTAAACTTTCTAATAATCTCCCTCCTTGCCCCTTTTACAGAATGGTTAATTCCTAAAGAATTTTCTGTCATTCAATAAAATTCGTGTCTTTTCAATAAATTTCATCAAAATTAGTTGAGTCATTCGAAATGTAAAGTGTTAACATATTTCGTCCTCATAGACTAAATCGTTTCTAACGATTTTTATTGCTATACTATTAATTGTTTTTCAGTGTTTCTAGAGATTCGGCGAAATTGTTTTTTTTTTTTGTTTTGTTTGAGATTAATACAGTCTGCCACACTGAAGGGCATTGGTACTAGGGCTATAGTATTCATTCACACAATATGTACATAAAAAAGGAAAAAAAAATATATATATAAAAAGATAAAGTAATATACAAGATAATTAAAACAAAAAATCAGCCGAAAAATAACAAAACAAATAAAACACATTCACACCTATGTACAATATTTACATTGGCCCAGGGGACTTTGAATCGAGCTTTGTCCCCCAACTGTGGAAGCCAAAGCAGGACTTCAGGAGACCAGCCGCGTCACTGGTATAGTAAGCCAGTGGAGGCTGATGGAGGGCACTAGAGCAACAAACGCTCAGGACATGAGTGAAGAATCTGGCCAGTGCCAGTACTCCAATATATACATATTTACAAAAGGTAGCGGGGCCACTGCCGTTTTAACCTCCAAGGAGGATTGTAGGGATGACTGGAGGTAGATAAAGACTGTGCTACAGCATTAGGATGATGAGTGAGATTCTGGTGAAATTTGGAAAATTTGTCTGGGATTAGCTGAAGTACAAATGGGATATTAAGGTCATTTTGTAGGGTTTTATTGGTTACATAAAAGGGAGCTACGACTATTATTCGGAGAACTTTAGACTGAAAGGATTGAATGCGTTTGATGTTGGAAAGTTTTGCTGTCCCCCACAGTTCGAGTCCGTAAGTCCAGATAGGTTTCAGGATTGTCTTGTAGATTAATAGTTTGTTCTCAAATGAAAGTTGAGATTTTTTATTGAGTAGTCTATATAGTTGGCCACATCGTCGGTTAAGCTGTTGTCTTTTAAGTCTGGTATGTGGGTTCCATGTTAGTCTTTTGTCTAAAAGGAAGCCAAGGTACCGAACTATATCGGAGAGGGGAAGTGGTATGGAGTTGAAATAAACTGGTGGGCACGACTTGCGCCGAAGTGTGAAAGTGGTGTGTTTGAATTTAGATTCATTTACTTGGATGCGCCACTTATTACACCAGTGTTCAATAAGAGAGAGGTGACTTTGTAGGTTAAAGGATGCTGTTTCGGGATCTCAATTAGAAGATAGGATGGCCGTGTTATCAGCGAATGTTGCCAGGAGAGTTTCAGGATGAGTAGGAATATCAGCGGTAAAGAATATAAAGGATAGGACCCAAGACGCTCCCTTGAGGAACTCCTGCCTGAATTGAATAACACTTGGAAAATTCAGTTCCACAGCGGACTTGAAAGGAGCGGTTTGAGGGATAGGACCGAAGTTCCAGATATGAGAACTGAGGTAGATAGGTTTTAAGCTTGAAGAGCGATCCGGTGTCCCATACCCGGTCAAATGCTTGCGCAATGTCCAGAAATTCACCCGAGCAATATTGTTTGCTTTCTAGGGCTGAGGATATATGGTCAACAACTCGGAGGCCTTGTTGGACAGTGGAATGTTGGGAACGAAATCCGAATTGGTGGGTAGGAAGGTTTTGGAATTCTATAATGGGTAGCATCAAAATTGTTTTTAAAATGATGATAATCCACCCCCTCCTCATTTCATGGAAGGGGATTGATTTATTACCAACTTGTCAAAAAAACGTAGGCACCAAGTAATTTTTAATCGACCAAGTTGTTCTCGAAGACTGCTTACCTGTTCCACCTCCTATCTTTCATTATTCCATTAAAAAAAAACATCATCATGGATATTATTTAATGGATGACACATTTGTAATTCTGTAAACAGTGACAGAGAAATGTTTTATAACCAACGGTGAGATGAACTTAATATATTATGATTAAATATAAAATTTGCCGCGGAGAGCTAGAGATCCATTGATATATGAACACGACAGCATTTCGCCCCGAGAATAAAAAACAATCGGCATTACAGTAATTAATTAAGACAAATCTGGGCAATAAATTTGGTTGATTTAACCTTTTACGGTTTCTGCGGCAATATAATGTCTTGGAACACGAAATTTGTCAACAATACTTTATTGTAAAAAAAAAAAATCGAAATTTTCTTTACAATAATACAAAAGCATTTTTAAAAAAAATCAATAAAAATGGCCTTAAATTTTCTTACTCCTGTTATTCACTTTCTTAAAACCTATAGTTATATAAAATAATAATTGCTGCTGTACAAATGCTTAATATCATTTCAAAACATTACACTAATATATAATAATAAAATAAGTATAAATTAGTGAGGTTGTAAGCAAACAATTTACACTTTTAATTTTCATTTGTCCTTGAGACAGATTGTAATATTTTTCAATAAATAAGTTTAAAAAAAAATGTCATTATTGTCCAATTATATTTTACGATATAATAAAATAATTTTAAAATTGAAGACCTACCTGTACAATAAACCACGCTGTGGCTCGCATGCAGATCCAAGTGCAGTAAAACATGTTCGTAATGAAGTCAACTATATTCCACAGATCATTGACATAGTCCAGTAATCCATCAGACCATAGCGCTCTAGCTTCATTCCATATAAGACCTATTGTGAACCAGTAAAGAACAATAATATATGATAGTAATCAATAGATACTAATTAAATAGTACAATGTATATATATATATATAAAATCATCTTTATTCTGGGACTAGGTCCCTTAAGAATAACAGTATTGTTCACATAAATTTGGCCAAAAGACCTATTACAATAACGAACAACCTAAATACTAGTGATAAATTAAGAATAATTGCTCTTAGGATATATTTACAAAAACAGTTGGGTAATAATTTTGCAATACTACAATATTGGATCTAAAACAATAACATAATAATCACTAAATGAAATTTGAAAGAAACGCTACATCAATTTTATAAACCTTGCATTGTAGTGATGGAATATAAAAATTTTAAAGAAATTTAACTGTTGATAAAAAAAAAAATAGTAAACAAAGAAGAAAAATAAATGATTTACATATGTTCCCTAAGATGTTTAAGTGAATAAACGTAAAGATTAGGAGAAGAAAAAATAAAATAAAGTATATATATAAATATATATATATATATATATATATATATATATATATATTATATATATATATATATATATATATATATATACAATCATAGAGAGGAATGTGTTGTAGATAAGCGTAAAATAAAATACATTTCAAGGAAATCCAATCTTATGAATAATATTTTTTTTTTATTTTTTTATTATTTCAATGGAATTTACAACTGTATTACATAGAGAATACAATAAGTAAATGAGAAATTTGTAACTTGGCATGTACAACATGAAGAGAAACTACCCATTGGTAGAACTCAATCTTATGAATAATAAAATTAGAAGTTGAGAAAAATAAACTTCCAATTTTCACAGGCGGATCCGTGGAAAGGTGTGTAAAGGTCAGAAGGACGAGATCTTGTGGAGAGGGTATGGATAGATGATTTGAATTGTAGGAGATTGTATGCGTAAGACGGACGATGATTATTGATTATTTGGTAACGGGGTGGGCCTAGGAAAGAAGGAGGGAAAGAGCCATCCTAATTCAGCATACTGGTGCGAAACACGGGAAAGCCTCAGGATCCCGATGACAAATCTTACGAAGGCATTCATAATTCTGCCGAGAGGCCACCATACACCACGGAGCCGTAATCAAGGTGAGGGAAGATGGGGCACTAATAAAAAAATTGGTTAAACGATTATCATTAAAAATCTGTTTATTTTATTTTCTGAAATTGATATTAAAATATTACCAATTAACATTTTTTTACTGGTCATTCTAGCATTTCTTAAAATAGTAATTATATAAAGCATTGTTCTTTTTTTACTTACTTATAACATAAACAATTATAAAAGATTCTACAACGCCTGGCATGGATCCCCTTTCTGGCCTCTTCCATTCCTGAACAAATTCCACCATCCAATCCGGACCGAACATTTCAATCACTAGTGTCTCAACTCTTTGGGAAGCCATACCGAGTAACACTGAAATGGATGTTCAGAAATAAATATGTATTATTATAAATTATTAATATTAAAATTAAACTATTAATATTATAAATATGTATTAACAAATACAAAACTATTGCGAACAAATTAACATTGTAAAATATAAATTATGACATACATTGGATCTTCCATGTAAAGAAGGTCAAGGTAAATGAACCACCTTTGTTACAGGGTTTCAAGCATTATAGGGAAGGCAGAAAAATATAAATACTAAGAACAACTTTACACACATGTATGTACTAAAATTTTCGGGATTATAAAAAGATAATCTTTGGCCAACTCAAGAGAGAAATACTTTATTAAAAGTAATGCTGCCCTACTACATAGGGTTGCTTCGTGCACAGCATACTTATCAATCCATACGGACATTAATTTTATATTATATTTTTTTATTTATTGTGTTTATATAGTTATTTTGTATAAAATTAATAAATATACACTGACAGGCAAAACATTCCACCCACTTGATTTTTTCATCTAAAAATATTTTACCCACTTGTAAAAAAAGCTGTATTTGTATATAATACGTGTTATTTGTTGATAATACTTAGTATTTATGGAATTTAATAATCTTTTTTACCTTTAATAATCAAAATGTGATTGGGTAAGAAAGATTAGAGAACAAAAAATTAAAAAACAAACCATTATTATTCCAAAAGAAATTAATTACATCGTCGTTTAGTAGCGAGTGTTTCCTCCTCTTGCCTTCACTACTTCTTGAATCCACCTCGGCATACTTTCCACCAGTCGGGAAATGTCCCTTTGCTGGAGGATAGCCCATTCCTCCCGAAGAGCTCTTTTAAGGTCCTGGAATGTATCACGAAGTGTTGCACGCGCTCTTATTCGTCTTCCGAGGTTATCCCATAAATTCTCAATGGGGTTCAAATCTGGAGGAAATTAAAACTTAAAAACCAGGCTAAAACCTCAATATTGTTCCGTTGAAGGAACGTCTGCACTATGCGGGCGACATGTGGGCGTGCATTAGAATAGAACGATCGCCGATTTCGTTGAGGATAGGCAACACATGAGGTTCCAAAATCTCATCACATAGCGAATGGCCGTCGAAGACCCTCCACGACAACCAATTCTGTGCGGCGCTCCATTGAAATCCCAGCCCACACCATTAAGGAACCACGTTGGAAAGGTTGGCTCTGGGAAAAATTACAGGCTGCATATCTTTCGTTTCTTCTCCACACCCTTTCACGCCCGTCTGGAGATCGAAGAGCGAATCTTGACTCATCTGTAAAAAGTACAACACTCCATTCGTCCATAGTCCAATGGCTGTGGTCTCGAGCAAAAGCCAGCCGTGTTACCCTGTGAGTTCTGGTCAACTCTGGTCCTCTTACTGGACGAAAAGCCATTATTCCATACTCATTTAATCTTCTCCGAGCGGTACGTTCAGAAATTTGCACACTTCGAACTTCTTAGGGCTGATGAATCGCTTGAACAACGGTAAGGTGCCGGTTTTGTAAAATTCTCAAAGTCAAAAACCGGTCATCCCAGACCAATCAAAAGCAGAAATATTTTTAGATGAAAACATGAAAAAATCAAGTGGGTGGAATTTTTTTCCAGTCAGTGTATATAAGTTGCATATGACTTTCAGATGAATGTTAAATTTAATAAGATACATTTATGCAATTTGTTAAAATAAATTGTGAATCTATGGCTTATATTTTCCTTAAATGAAGTTCAAGTGCCTTTTTTCTGATTACTTGTTTTTTTTTTATTATTACTTGTTTGTTTTACAATTTATTTAAGTTCTATCAACATATTTGTATTCACTCAATTCGTAAACTTAGTATTCGGTTGTCAGGATCAACAATCAATGTAGGAACTATAAAACTTAATTTATTTAAGAAAACAAAAACACCACATATTACTTGGTTTTAGCCACCACATTTCAAACAATAAATACGTTTCAAATAAATTATGAATCTTACTCAAATTCGTGAAAATAATTTATTTTTTAAATGTCCCACTTGGGTGTATTAAAAGCCTAACTGATAAATTGAAGTATTGAATATTTAATAGTTAACCGTTGCATTATAAAGGAAGGATATGGTCTGGGGTGGCTGTCATAAATTGGCTAAATAGTGGAAAAACTATTTTATTAAAAGCCAACGTTTCAACCCGACTTTGCAGGTCTTCTTCAGTGCTAAAACGGACAAGATACAAAAAGATAGAGAATTGTGGAAGTTACATAATATTTAGGCAAAAAATTGTAAACAATGTGAATACGCTTATTAAAATTATAAACAGTAAGTACATTAAAATATATACAGAGTAAGCTAAGTAACAAGATCCTAAACTGAAGTAAATAGATGGTAACAATTGTTGTAGTGTAATGTATAATACATGCAATGTGAATATACTTCTACAGATCTACAGGAGAGATTGAAAGAAAAGGAAGAAGGATATAATATGAAATAATAGACACTTACAGGTGTATAGGACTTAGAGACATACGGGTGTGTTCAGCTAGGAGTTTCACTTATAACTGGAAAACCAGGGTAAGTATTGGGCAGGTATTGGGGAATTTGCAGACTTGTTTAGGTAATGGGGAAAAACCTAGAAAATTACAGTATCTAAAATTTGAAGATATGGATGAATACAAAGGAAAAATACTATATATATGAAAAAAAATTTAATTTAATTTTAAAACTTTTATTATGATATTTACAACTGTATTAGTATGAATACATCAAGTAAATGTGTACAGAGGAATATAATCACATGAAACACGCTTGTTGAGAAACTACCCATTGGTAGTATTCTAATAATTTCTCTACATGAGAAGATCACGAGACCATCTTTTTTTCAGACGCCTCGGAGGATTATCAGGAATCGAAGAGGAAGCAAGGTTAAAAACAAGAGGATTCGGATGGTTATGAAGTTTATTATGGAAGGATAGGTATCTGGATTTGGCCAAATCGGAAACATATGGAACATTGAGGTCTTTATGGATTATTTTATTTGTGACAAAGTAAAGAGCATTGAGGATTTTACGAAGGATTTTGGATTGTAAAGATTGGATATGAGAGGAATTTGATGGTTTAGTGGAGGCCCATAGCTCAACTCCATAAGTCCAAATAGGTCTTATTATAGTCATGTATATGTGTCGTTTGTAATTAATTGGAGGTTTAGAGCGTTTGTCCAGTAAGTGTTGGAGGAAGCGGAAACGTCGAGTAGTTTCTTGTCGTTTCAGTCTTGTATGATGATTCCAAGTGAGACGTTTGTCCAGCTGGAGTCCTAATTATCGGCTTTGTTCTACAGGGATAAGTGGGGTGTTATTAAAGGATACTATAGGGCAGCAAGTCATTGGTTTACGACGAAGGGTAAAGGTGATTTGATGGGATTTATTGGAATTTATTTTAATCCTCCAGTTTTGACACCATTCTTCAAGGTTTGTGATGTGTTATTGAACAGTTTGGGATGCAATTGTTGGATCATTATTAACTGACAGGATACATGTGTCATCAGCATACGTTGTGATGACAGTGTTAGGATGGGTTGGGATATCAGCTGTATAAACTGTGTAAATGATAGGACTAAGGATACTACCTTGAGAAACTTCGGTAGATTGAGAAAAGAGGGATGAAAAGGTATTATTGTGAGTTACTTTGAAGTCTCTATCAGTAAGATAGGAACTGATGATAAGAAAATATGTAGGGGGGAGGAATTTACGGAGTTTGTATTCAACGTCGAGAGAAACTCCAGTGCAATGCATTCCGCGTTCCAATGCAGAGGAGACAACGTCTACCACACGATGACATTGCTGGATAGATAAATGGGATGTGCGGAATTCAAATTGGTGATCAGGGATTATGTGGTTAGAATCTAGGATGGGATACATGCGTTTTAAGATGAGCTTCTCCAGGATTTTGGCCATGATGGGGAAAACAGAGATAGGACGGTAAGAGGATGGGTATTCTGGTGGCTATTTGGGTTTATGTATCATTTTGACTTCAGATAGTTTCCAAGGGTCAGGAAAATATGTGGGACGGAGTATGGCGTTATAAATGTAAGTAAGGAATAGAATGGATTTTCGAGGAAGTAGTTCAGGAATATGGGAAGTGATTAGGTCGTGGCCAGGAGCTTTGCGGGAGGGTAATCTGTGAATAATATTGGATATTTCTGAAAGATGAAATGCTTTAGGAGGAGTCATTTGGAGTGGAATATCCAGTTCTGTTTCAATACATTCAAGTTGATTTGGATTAAGGATATCGTGATGTGGATTAAAAGTTTTGAAGAGGTGATGAGCAAAAATTTGGGATTTTTCTTCACCAGATTTGGGCCAAGTTTGAGCTTCAGTAAGAAGGGTATGATTAACGTCTTTAAATTTCAGGAGGCGTTTAGTCGTCGCCCACAGTGATTTATCGGTAGGTGTTAGTTTTTCAGTAAAATTTAGTAAATTTTGTATTTTCTAATTTCTGATTTTAGTTTGTTAGTCGGAGTATGCGCATGCGCCAGTTTCTATCTACCAACCTGCTACATCGTCTCCCACAAAGTGACTTAATTACCAGTTAATTAGTGAACTTTAGTGCAATAAAACAGTGACAATTCAACATTTATCAATTGACTATTCAACTCAACATAAACAAAGTGAGTAAATAACTTGTTTATTAACATTAAGACTACAGTGTAAACAACAATAGATTTATAGGTAGAGGCCATATCTGGCTATCGTTGCACCCCACTACCTTTAGTTTCCTCCGTGGCTTCTAAGGGAGAACACGTATACTTAGAAGGCCTCTACAAGTCTACGTAATTAGTTACGTACTAAAAACTTTTATTTATTTTTTTTTTCTCCTCTCTTTTATTTACCACCCTACCGTCATGAGATGCGATATTACCATATGATAATGTCTAGCAAAAACAAAAGATCTAGGAGTTTAGGTAATAACAGCCCTCGAAGTTCACCGGTAAAAGAGAAGCCTAGACGTTCTAATAGGAAAACGCCACCTTCAACACCTGAT